CCGACAGATGCTTGTTTGGATTGAGATCTGGAGAATTTTGAAGCCAAATCAACACTTCAAACCCCTTGTTGTATTCCTTCAAATCGTTCTTAAACCACTTTTACAGTGTGGCAGGGTGCATTGTTCTGCTCAAAGAAGCCACTGCCATCAGCCTTCACAGGTTTTGCTTTCTTCTCACACTGTATCCTGGTACAATCTCTTCCTCAGGTAAGTGATGTAGATGCACCCAGACATCCGCATAATATAAAACAAAGCATGATTTATCAAACCAGGTCACCTTCAATTGCTTCATGGTCCAATGAGCTCAGTGCTCATTTTAGGCACCTTTGACTGTGCACATGAATCCTGATCAGTTTGCGGCTATGCAGGCCCATACACAACTAACTACTATGCTCACTTTTTCTGCTGTCAACACATCAATTTCAGTAACAACATGTTTATTTGCTGCCCAATACATCCCACTGGATGGAGAGGACATTGTAACAAGCTAATCAGTGTTATTCACCTAACCTGTTAGTGGTCATAAAGTTATGGCTAATCAGTGCATACTGTATGTCCCCGTTTAGGAGCTCAGATAGCTACAAGTTAGGGACCACAGTTTGCAGAGGTTGCCTGAATGGCAATATGACTTAAGGCCTAGTTCACACCTATGCAGGTTATGGCTAAAACATTTTCCTGGTGCATTTTGCATTTTTTCACACGCCTTCTTGACACTTTTGTAATGCTTTTTTGATGCGTTTCCACTGTATTTCTATTGAAATCTATGGAACCAAAAACGAGGGAAAAAAAGTCCCTGACCCTTTCCAGAAAACACACTAGTGGAAAACACACAGATGTGAATGTGACCCATAGGAAACCATGGTAAATGGATTTTAATGCCATTCCTCAAAACTTAAAACATACTGAAAAAGGCATAGGTGTGAACCAAGCCTTCCATGTATTTGCAAATGTATGCAACATAAACCTAAATGTTAGAAAAGTTTGAGTATTATGTGTTCAATGGCAGGACTGAGTTCTGGGGAACTTGTATATTGTTTCGGTGTATTTCTTTTTGTGTGTGCATGTCATATTTGATAGCTATAACTTGATCTGAGAGGCTGCCATTTCTATTTTTTCTACAGCTTTGGGACACTTACTAATTATCATTATTATTATACAAGATTTATATAGCGCCAACAGTTTGGTCAGCACTTTACAATATAACGGGAGACAATACAGCAACAATACAGTAAATACAAGAGGGTTAGGAGGGCCCTGCTCCTTGGAGCTTACAATCTATGAAGGAGGGGCTGGTGGTACAAAAGGTAATAATTTTGGGAGATGAACTGATACTAAATGCCAGGTGCATGGGTGAAACTTAATACATTCAAATATCTTATGCAACTAGCCGCTCATGCAATCCAAACACTACACTGAAATAATTAGCCATTGCTCTAACATATTTCAGAATTCTAAGGTATTATCTTACAATGCTAGGATTTTGAAGTATTAACTCGCAAGAGCTCTTCCACACTTGAATGCGGCCAACTGGTTAGATTTCCAAACCTGCTGTGCTGCATCTACTGTAATTCTTATTGTGATTAATTGCCTGGCTGTGCCTACTCTTGTAATGTCTTATATTTACACAAAGGACATGTCAATATACTGGTAATTGGGCAGTACAGCAAGAAAAGCATTTCTTGTTACAGTAATTTGTCAATGTGCACGTTAAAGAATTTAGATACATTCAGTCTATTAGTAGCATCAGCATACTTCAACTGGTCATTGAAACTGAACAGTAGATTTCTTAGAAGTCATGCCTGGCAAGTTTACTTTCAGGATTTACTATTTGCTGAAGCAGGTGAGACATTTCAATTTCCACACACCAACCAGAGACCTGAAGATAAATTTCTAAGTGCTACCAAGTTGTTGCTAGTTCAGCAAAATTGTGGTTATTTTAGTTAATGGGTCAGCCCACCCAAAGTTGGTATTACAATTTTGAATGGATTGTTGATTTACCTAGCAATTTGGGACAATGCACCTGCTGTGGCAGCTTTTGCCACACCTCAATCTGTGGTGGACCACTTTTTAGAGGTGTTTGACCAGTGGTGACTGGTGGTCTTCATTGCCCAATTTAACCATGTAGGTGCTGCACCACTGCAAAGTATTAATGTGCATTGTAAAGCGGTGTGGCCATGACAGGTATACATTCCTGTCCAGCTGCCTTTAAAGCTTAAGGGGGTTGGTCCAAGGAAAAGTAAAAAACACCTTTGTTTACCACCATTCCCAACCTCAAGTGTAAATAAGCCCTTATAGTTGGATTTTTTAACACAGAATGCAACAAGAATGAGACTTTGTGGAAAAAAGATGAAAACTATGAAATATTGTTGCTACAGCTCATGCACAGTAATAACAACTTGGGTAACTAACCCTTTAGGCAAAAGAGTACCCCATTCCAATCTGGAAAAGAAACAACAAAGCAACACTGAACATTTGGTTTTATAAAATAACAAAATTTCAAAGTCATTATTTGTAGAATGAATCATAAATAAGTTCTCAGAACAAGGATTTGGTTGGTGGTTTTGTATAGCTATTTTATTAGTTATGTTAACACTGTATATTACATCTAAATTCTTTATATCTGCAATTGGACAAAAGGTGGAGCTTTAGGCCGATTTGCACATATTTACCAAGCTAACACTAATGTTAAATGACACTGCCTGTGATTCACGCTCTTCAAGAGCTACAGCTAATAAAAAAACCTTCTGCATCAAACACATTTCAGAGTGTATTAGATGCCCGACCCCCTCTTGACCTGGACACATTGCTCCTAGGCTAAAGACTAGTAAACATGATTAGAAAATCGTACCAAAAATACCGCTTTCAAACATCATACGATGATCTGATCATTAGAACACAGTTTTTGTCCACAATTATTCAAAGGGACAAGCACAAACATTTTTCTCGTACGATACCAGATTGTACAATTTTTGTTTAAACAATACAGTTTTCTTCTGAAAATACAATACAAATACATTACAATACATGTCATCACTTCCGAATTTTTATTCTGTCATACAAGAATTTTAGTAACTTTAGTAATCTTTTGATTATTGATGTGAGACTAGCACACAAAAAAAAAAAAAAAAACGGACGAGCATTCATCTGATATTCTTATCATGTGTACGGGGCTTACTACTTATAATCTCTTTAATGTTTAACAGTTTAATACAAGGTCCAGTATTCCTGTTTTTGTACACTATGCCTGTGACATCATCAAGAAACATTAAAAAGGCTAATAAATGTGTGACGGAGGGTAGACAGGACAGAACACACAAGGCGGATAGCAAACAGACAAATCTTTATTGAGGCAAAATGACAGTCACTCAATAGGGGGGGATTGCAAGGGGGTGACCTCTCCGCTAGGGGAATAGTAAGGAGAGGGCAAAAAACACTTGTAGTCCAGCCCCAAGGGGCAAAGGTAAAGTCTCTGCGACAGATTGTAATCCAACAGGGGGGTAGGGGAACAGCTTAGGAACAGTTCAGGCAAAACAGGGGAAAGCATACAGGTGGTCTCTCCTTCTGGCTGGGGCTCTGGCCGGTTGACATGTGCGATCTCCCCCCTTTGGCTGGGGGTCTCAGACAGACTGGTGTGTGCAATCTCCCCCTTTTCGCTGGGGGTCTCAGGCAGGCGTTTGAGGTCTCCCCCCTCTGGCTGGGGGTCTCAGGAAGGCTGGCATGTACGATCTCCCCCCTCTGACTGGGGGTCTCAGGCAGGCTGGCATCTGCGGTCTCCCCCCTCTGGCTGGGGGTCTCAGGCAGACTGGCGTCTGCGGTCTCCCCCCTCTTTGGCTGGAGGTGTTAAGTGGGGTTAGCGTGTGCGGGGTCCCCCATATCCTTGGGGTCTTTAGCAGAGTTAGCCATAAGGGTCCCGCTGCTGCTGAGCTCCCTCGATGGCTGTGCAGCGGAGAAGAATGACTGGGGAGCTCTGCATCAGCCTTCTTAAGCTGATGCAGGACACTCTCCGGTTGTCCTGGCAACTGTGGGCGGGCTGGTGTGCCTCGTCACCCGGCAATGAGGCACGCCCCCTGGACACGGGTCATGCTCTTGTGAGCTCCTCGTGCCCATGCTGTGGATGCCGGGATCGTGCGGCGTCACCCTGACGCCGTGATCCGGAACATCTCTGCAGGAGGCTCGCACTTCTCTGCAGAGAGGTGTGAACCTCGCTATCTTGTCCCATCCGGCCTCACCGGATGGGGATAAGATAGTGGCAGAGGTGAGAGGGGCTGCGCCTCTCGTCCTGCGCGGCTCAGCCTCAAAGAGCCACGGCAGGACAAGAGTCAACGGGGAAGGGGGGGAAGGTCATCCTGACAGGGGGGAAGCAGCTGTAACAAAATGCATCATAAAGGCAAAAGAAAATTGTGCTCTGCCAAATAATGAGAATAATAATAGATGAGCTGCTGCTGTGTGTAAACATAAAAACAGACTAAAACAAATGAAAGTGTTGCGCTGCTAGCATAAACCAATACATGTATAAAAAAGGTGCAGCGCTAAAAACACAAAGTAAATGTATCAAATGGAACAATAAAGTGCAACATATAGATATATAAACACTTGTGAATATATTATTGTTACTAGCGCTCGCCTGTATACTACATAAATCAATACATGTAAATATACAAACAAAAACATGATTGATAGTTCCAAAAGATGATAAAACATAAAAATAAATGCAATTCGTCAAAAAAATCCAAATAAGTGAAAAATCTTCCTGCTGGTGATTGCACCCAAAAACCCAGTTTGACGGTCGCGGCGTCAGACCCCCAACCCTTCTCACCAACATGTGACTGAAGGACTAGCCAATCTAAAACCGCGCTGTCACGTGCGTAACAATGCCACGCTCAGCTGCACCCCGCACAAAGATTTTCCAGCTCACTGGACCACAACCTATGTGCCGCAGCCTGAGAACGATTGCTACTGGGTCAGGTTAATTACACAATTAACCCTTCACACTGCCACCACCTTCTTTTTGTACAGAGAAAGAGAAAACTCACCAATCTTAGCAGTAACACTATGATGTTTGGAGTCTGGATACACACTGTCACCGCAGGCAGATGTATCCAGAGGTTTTAAAACACACAGTAGCGCTCTTCAGAGACAGGGATTTTTAGTTTGCATTAAAGAGCTTTAGAAACAGTTCAACACTTTTCAGATAATAGGATTTATTACTAAAAAGGTCAAAAGGGTGCAAAAAAAATATTTACTGACAAAGATGTAGCCAATATATATATATATAAATACAGAGAGCAATAACACAGCAGAGAGATAACAGAAGGAAGTTTAGAGAGGTAGAATACTTGCCAGAGTACTTGGTTTAAGCAGATTCAAGGGTCCTGAGCAAAAGGGTGCCTTTTCTCCCAAAGTTGGTTCCTGATGTTAAAAGGGAGATCTCTTCATCTTGCCTCTCTCAGGCCTGACAGCCTATTCTCTAGTCCACCAGCAGGGTGTCTCCTTAAAGCAGAGAACCAATCGCCTCATTTAGGGAGGGTGTTTAGGCGGGGAACTCAGGCTATGACCAAATCCCTCCCAAGTTATACCATGGTCACTAACCTTCCCTAGGTACATGTAGCAGCCTAGCCACTAGTAGATTAATATGCAGAATGATATCCTGAACGTCCAGACATCAAATATGCCATATCTTATTATTTCAGCTAGAACTATATGGCTTTCTACTCTCCTGCAGACTTTAACTAGGGCTGTAAGGTATCAGGTGACTTGTATTAAAGTGACCTCTCGAAACATATGCTTTGTTTCATTGTAAGTATTTCCTATCTTAAGATATGAAATTGTATGGAAAAGTGGTTTTAAATGGGATGTATCCAAAACCAACTGTCCACCTGTGAGCCAATACAGTGAATTCTCTGCAAACACAACCCAAAAATATTCGATAAACATATATTAAATCAAAAAAAATTTTTTTAGGTTCGCAAACACTTCACACCAACTCATACAATAGTGTCAACCGATATATAGATAAATATCGTGCTGCGCTCCTCTATTATTATCATCAAAGACACATTGATTACGTTTAAAAAATAAACTAAAATAAAATCTAATATAAATAAAGTGAGAAAAAAACAAAATGTGAAAAAACAAATGTCCACTGTGCTTATACAATCCCTTTATACTATGGAAATAAATGTATCATTGTATATCCAGAGACTGATACATAAGAGTCCTCTTTCTTTTTGAGAAATCTGTGCTAGTTAGATGAATACACTCCAGGTTCCAAAAACTTTTGCAGCATAAATACAGCTCTATCATGCGCTCACCTCCGTCTCCAGCCTCAACAGGCTAAATCACGCAGTTTATCCTATAAAAGGATGAAGTATGCTTGGCTGCTTATCACCTTCAAACAATCTATCTTCTGTTTTTCTTTGCAATTATATATGTGGAGTTTGCTGGAGTAATACTGGAGGATTGTTCCCTTGAAGGGGAGAAGGAGGGAAGATTCATCCAACCATCCACACACCCATAGATCCATACAAGATAATGAGGAGAGGAGTGACACCAGGTTAACCAGGAAAACTGCGGTTTGGAGAGATTGTTTGAAGGTGATAAGCAGCCAAGCATACTTCATCCTTTTATAGGATAAACTGCGTGATTTAGCCTGTTGAGGCTGGAGACGGAGGTGAGCGCATGATCGAGCTGTATTTATGCTGCAAAAGTTTTTGGAACCTGGAGTGTATTCATCTAATTAGCACAGATTTCTCAAAAAGAAAGAGGACTCTTATGTATCAGTCTCTGGATATACAATGATACATTTATTTCCATAGTATAAAGGGATTGTATAAGCACAATGGACATTTGTTTTTTCACATTTTGTTTTTTTCTCACTTTATTTATATTAGATTTTATTTTAGTTTATTTTTTACACGTAATCAATGTGTCTTTGATGATAATAATAGAGGAGCGCAGCACGATATTTATCTATATATTTAAATGGGATGTATGTTTTACTGCTATCTAGGAATGTCTTTCATGTCCAGTGAAGGACGGGTTTATAGCTTTACGATCATCTCCAAGCAAGCGTCTCACAGACATACTGGGCCCAGGCTAATTGGGTTTATAACCATGAAGGATATCCAGCTGTGCCCTGTGCACTCCTGAACCCAGCACACAAGGACCATGTGTCACTCAACAGAGAGGGAGGGGGGGAGCTGATTTGGAGTGAGAAATGATACAAGATAGAGGGTCTTTACCAAAATGGATATTCGCATCCATATTTACACGTACAATTGCTACACCCAGTGCTGTAAATCTTCAATACATTTGAATCACCACAGTGAACATAGACTTCCAGGTGGACTCTCACTTTCTCGCATGGACCTGTATGTGGACACAGGTCAAACAAAGCATCTCCCCTATTAGTGGGGGTAACACATAACTTGCTCCTCTTTGCACTCTTCCCCTTATGAATCACCACTGGACCTTCACAAATGGCACCCGATTTCAGTACAGCCAACTCTGTGGATAAAGCTTGACAACCACAAAGTAGACCATAGTACAATAGACTTCTTTAACCACCTCCCATCCGGCAGTTGTATATAAATGGCTGGATGGTGGCAGTGCAGGGTAGGGTGGCCATTTCTAAATGGCCTCCCCACCCCCTGCTTGTGCGCGCTCCCTGAGAGCTCGCAGCACCGCGATCCAGTGCCCGCTGTGTCCTCCGGACACAGTGGAACACCGATCGTCGTACGGGACCTCTGTGCGAGGTCCCGGTCATGTGATCACTGATTGGCCAATCAGTGATTGCATGCAGAGTAGTAAGCAAGATGTCACTTCCTGACATCCTTGCTTACTATGTGTGAAATCTGTGAATGATCACAGAGGTCACATGGTACAAGGCTATTCACAACAGCCTTGTACCATGTGACAAGCTGTGACCAATCACAGCTCACACAGTAGTTCTTAATGGCTGCAAGATGGATGGATGCAGCCAGAGAGAAGGAGAAATGATTGCTTTTACAGACTTTATGGGAGTAAAAGCAATCAGTGTAAAAAAAAAAAAATCTTCATTACCCCCCACAAGTAGGACAGTGCCACCATGGTGACACTGTACTGCTAGGATGACAGTATGTTAAAAAAACATAACTAATAATATAAAAAAATAAAATAAAATGTAAAAAAATGTTTAAAAATGATACTTTTTGGTTATAAACTAATTTGTTTTTTTTTTGTTTTTTTACTTAAAAGATAACGGAATACATTTTGACCAAGATTTATGATGAAATATTATATATTTGCAAAATGTTATAGGAAAAACACTTTTTTAAAACATTTTTGTACATTTTCATTTACATAGCAAAAAAAAAAATAAAAAGCCCGGTGGTAAATAAATACCACCAAAATAAAGCTTTATCTGTCTCAAACAAATGCTAAAAAATTCATATGGGTACAGTGTTGCATGACCACGCAATTGTCATTCAAAGTGTGATAGCGCTGAAAGCTGAAAATTGGCCTGGACAGGAAGCGGGTAAAAGTGTCCGGACTTGAAGTGGTTAAAAGGCATATATCTATTAAAGCATAAAAACTCACATGATAATAGTGTTAAAAATGCATGAAACAGCGGTCAGAATCAAATAATGGAGAACAAGACCCTGCCTGTCGGAACGATGTAGGAGCGCTGACATCACCTGATTTCATATGTATTAATAAATATATACCTTTTAAAAAAGCCTACTACACTATGGTCTAAGTTTTTTTAGGTTCCTCTTAGCACTTTGATATCTTTTTCTGCAGTGAGTCAGCCAGCCTGGTTAAAACCTCTGTGTGTCTGTGTTCCACATGCTTGACCTGTAATACAACTTCTGCACTTACCTCTGGTTATCTATGCACTACAATTTTATCTGAAAATGTGGTACGTTTGTTGCCTATCAGCTAAATCACCGTCACAATTGAGGAACACCCAACAGGAAGCCTATCCCTATTAATGTTGACAGAAAGGGGGAGATGTAATACAACTGGTGCAATCAGACTCTGGTAGCCAATCAGCTTCTAATTTCAGCTTGATTATTTAAAGTATAACTAAAGGCAAAACTTTTTTTTTAGTTTTGGATAGAGTGCAGAGGAATTAGAACACCTGTCAGTTTTTATTGCTATCGGTTAAAGAGATTCACCCTCTCTATTTCTCCTGTTTATCATTATCATTGAAAGTGAAAATAAAAGAAAATCCCAAATTTTGGGTTGTACCCAGAAAAGTAATAGAGGGGAAATTTTCCAATGGGGACACTAGTTCTGGTGACCTGGGGCTCCCCAATAAATTTTCTTAATTTGCAGGGATTATCTCTCACTTCCTGTTTTGGCTATGGGACAGGAAGTGAAGGGCAATCTCAACAATGGGACACAGTTGACGAAAAGAAATTTGACAGGAGTTATAGCCCTCCCTTTGTTCTATCCAAAATAAAAAAAAAAGTTTTGCCTATAATTCAACTTTAAGCTTTGACAATAAAACCTGGAAGCTGATTGGTCTCTGTGCAGTGCTGCCCCAGATTTTGCACACTCCAGTTTTAGTAAACCCCCCCCTAAAGTGTCTGTTTCAATCTATGGATCTAAAAAACTGCAGCCAAACTTTATTGTTATTAATATTATTATTATTATTTTTGTTATAGAATTAATCATTTAATTGAATTTAAAAAAATTATAAAATTAATCATGACTCCAATTGCATATGTTGATTGACTGTATTATGCACAGTCACATAAGCAAAGGATAGCAATGACATCACTGCCCAAATATGGCCAGTGGCCATTGGCCATTTTTAGGCAGTGACATTGACCAAAATGGCCATATTTGTCATGTATGTCCCCACTGTCCCTGCCCATCATTTTTATAGCTGATGAAAGCTTGAGGAGCTGTCATCTGGTGAGGAGTACCATTGGGATCAGTTGTGTGCCCCGGGTCTGTCTGTTTTTTTTTTTCTAGTCAGAGGAAAGCTGGCATTATGATTGATGATGGATTAACAATGAGGGGCACAAGGTCCTTTGCTAGACCCTCAACATGGTGGGTATCTTGGCAAAACACCTTGTCCCCATGTTGTTGACAACACAATCTAGGTCTGGGAGTCTGGGGGTCTGCAAGCAGAGGGGTTTATCAAAATCTGGAAGCCACTTTTAACATTAAGGGGGCCCCCAGACACTATTCTCCCATGTGAATGATTAATTAATGATTACCCCTTATTATTCACAAAAAAAGTAAACAGTAAGTAAACCCTAATAAAACATTTAAAAAAGTCCAACCATGTAATCCATCATCAAAAACATCCTCCAGCAATGTAGATCTACACTAATCACAATGAAAAACACCCTGACAACTCGCACAAAAACCCCCGACAACCAACCAATAATGTCATGGATGGGGATTCCATTTTTCTTCTGTGTTTTGCATGAGGGGGTCCCTCCTAAAATTTGGAAGGTCCCCATGCTGTTTTTCTTTTTTTCCACAATTTTCAGTAATACACATCAACAACTCCATGGAACCTTGACTTTTGTTGGAGGCCTATTGGGTAAGCTCTGGAGGGTAAATTCCTGCATTGTAAGAAGGAATGACAGTAGCTTTCAACTTCAGTCCTCATACAGGGCCAGTAGAACTGGTCTCTGAACAGTTTAAAAAAAACCTTTCTGCTCCAAGGTGAACATGCTCATCGTGGAGGGTACAGTATGTTTCTCAGGAGGAATAGCTGTGACTTGTCTTCAGGATCACCCATGTCTTCTTATGGGGCATCAGCATTTTTTTAGTTCTTCTAGCCATGGCGTCAGCATCTCTGTTTTTAACTCTTCATCGATACTTTAGGCTAAGTGAAGTCTGGACAGGTCTGCTAGTTTCATGTCCCATGAAATCTAATTTGACAGTTGTGAGGATTAGGTGAGCAGATTGTTGTCTTAACTCAAATGTAAGGAAAAAAAAAAAAAAAATTTTTGCCCACATTTTTTGCAGGTTAAAAGGAGCCTGGAAAGCATTGAACTAGCGATCAGCAGATCACTAGTGCAATGCAGGATTTCTGCAGACTGTCAGTGGAAGCTGTCTGCCCATAACATTGTCGGGACAGGCAGATTTACACTGACAGGGAGAATCAATGAACTACCACACCGCTCAACAGCCCCATGGAATTTAATTGAGAACTACAAGACGACAGCCTCAAAGGTTGTAGATACTTGTAGTTTCCCATTGACTCAGAACGCATGGCCACATTTAAAAAAACATTGTGACAGTTAGAGGGGGAAGAAAATCTCCTGCTAGCTGTCACAATGGGAGATCGGGGGGGGGGGGGGGTGCGGCGATCAGTGCTACAGTAACAGATTACATATTACACCCTGAGAAGTATGGGTGTAACATGTAAGGTGGATGAAAGGACGAGTGGATGAAAGGTGAACTTATCCTTTAACTCTGTTAAAGTTAGCTTGCCTGCCACTGCCCCATTTCAGAGCCAAGAACTCCAACTTATGAGTGGGATAATTCTTCTGGGATGTGGTCTTCTGGCATCCATTTGCAGTCTGTAGGGCTGAATGGAGTCAATATAGCCTTTGACAGGCATGTGAGTCAGGCTCCCCTTTATCTGTTAGAAAGGCTGCTGTTTACCTTGGTCAGACCACTCTTCCCTGAATTTATTTCCAAAACTTTCTAGTCTTTTAAAGGCTCGTTCCACACTTGACTGTTTTACCAATGCTTGCCATTGGCGGTTGCTAGGCATTTGCCGAGCGTTTTAAAAACGTCCCACAAATGCCTATAATGAAGTTTAAATGTGTGTTTCCGCTCCACAAACGCCCTGCAACTGCATGGCAACCTGCACCGCAAACCGCCAGCCGGGCGTTTGCGGAGCGGCACCATAGACTAGAATAGGAGGCTTCAATGCCTCCTGACTTGACCAGAGGTGTCCGTTTTGGCCACGACGCGACTCTAACGCTCCCGTTAGAAACAGCACCATGTGCTGCAATGTGCAGAATTGTCCAAGGCGTTTGGGAAGCGGTAAAAAACGCTTCCCAAACGCCCTCTCTGCCGCTGCACACAACGGCTAGTGTGAACGTAGCCTAAAGCTTGGAAAGACAAGTCTGGTGGCTTTAAATCCTGGCTGTGTGCTTCAGGTCATTGTCATGTTGGAAGACCCAGCCACGACCCACCTTCAATGCTCTGACTGAGGGAGGAGGTTGTTGCTCACAATCTCACAATAAATAGTGCCCCATTCATGGCCTCTCCTGATCTACAGTGCAGTCGTCTTGTCCCCTTCACAGAAAAGCACCCCCCAAAAAATTGATGTTACCACCCCCATGCTTCACAGTAGGGATGGTGTTCTTGGGATGCAACTCATCCTTCTTTTTCCTCCAAACATGACGAGCGAAGCTTAGACCAAAAAGTTCTACTTTGGTCTCATCTGACCACATGACTTTCTCTCAATGTGCCTCCTCTGGATTATCCAGATGGTCATTGGCAAACTTCAGACGGCCCTGGACTTATGATGACTTGAGCAGGGGAACCTTCCGTGCAAATGCATGATTTGAAACCAGGATGGAGTAGTGTTCTACCGACAGTGATGTTTGAAACTGTGGTCCCGAGCTCGCTTCATCATGTCCATTGACCAGCACCTCCCTTGTAGTTCTGGGCTGATTCCTCACCTTTCTTATCATCAGTGATACCCGCACGAGGTGAGATTTTTTGCATGGAGCCCCAGTCCGAGGGAGACTGACAGTCGTCTTTAGTACCTCTCCCCCCCCCTCTACCATTTCTAACAATTGCTCCAACAGTTGATCTATTTTCACCAAGCTGCTTGGCAATTGCCCCGTAGGACCTTTCCAG